ACGTCAGCGCTTTTAAAACACGACGTTTTTTATCGCGCAGTGTTGCATTTTGAACGCTAAGCATTGTACGTTACAGATTACGTCACATCGAGAATGTTATAAAAGCGCCAACGCATAGTTTTAACACAACGTTTTTAAAACGTCCGTGCGAAAAAGGGTTACATTTTTTATGTTTTCTATCAAAAAAGTAACACTAGCATTTTATGTATTCGAGTATAACTTTTAAGGAGAGTATTTCAGATATAATTTAATATTTTCATTGACTATTATAGTTATAGAGTATAAAAAATATATTTTGGTAGACATATTAAAAATTGGTTACATTTATTCGGATAACAACTTTAGACTTTGAACCCTGTCTCTGTACACGTTTCTTTAAAAAACAACAAAAAATATATTCATTTGAAAACTGCCACCTTAATATTATTATATTATATTTAGCAATATACTTAACCTAACAAAAAAAATTGCATTGTTTAAACACTTTACCTGCCAAAACCCCTTTTAATAACGACATATTTTTTAATTTTGATACGCTTAGGAAGTTTGCAGATGTTTTTGTTGGGGAGCAATAATAAAAGTATGCTTTACGAAATTTTGATCCGCCCTTCTTAGTTCCCATATTATCTTTCCCATACATAAGAAAGTCGTTTCTTTGGCTTCGAATATTCTTGAGTATTTTGTGCTTGTGGCGGGCGCCTAAGAAAACTCCCAACCCAAGCTTAGCTCACGGGTGTCGTAGAAGGCGACTAAGAACCAAAGCCTGACCAAAGCCAACCTAGGCCAAAGGTCAACAAAAGCAATTCCAAGGAGGGTTGGCGTCAGGCAGACGGCCGGTCATAAAAATTATGGCAAAAATTAGAGCAACATGAGAAAAAGCGAAAAGAAGATTGAAAGGGCCAGGGCGTCCCCCCGCAGGCGACGCGCAGTTGCAACACCCGGTCTCTGTGGAAATTAGATGGGGGTTGTCACATCACGAGCGGATGCGATGTAAGACGCAAGCCTAAAATGTGAGAGGTGAGATTGAGGTATATAAGCTGGAATAAAATGTGAGAGAGATGAGATTGAGGTATTTAAGCTGTAACGTGGGTAATATGACTGGTAAAGGAAGGGAGCTAGCGTATGTGTAAAGAGGAGAAGAATAAGTATAGCATGTCTTCAAGAGAATAGGTTGAAAGGAGCGAAAGCTAGAGAGATTGGTGAAGGATATAAGTTGTATTATAGTGGAAGTGATGGAAAAAGGAAAGTTGTGGGAGTAGTGTTAGATAAGGATTTGAAAGATTGCGTGGCGCATGTCATAATGAAGTGAGTGAGTGATAAGATAATAACAGTGAAAATAGTTTGTGAAAGTGTTATTTTGAATGTTATAAGTATGTACGCGCCTCAAGCCGGATACAAGGAGGACGTGGAAGAAGTTTTTGCAGGATCTTGATAGTATTCTGATTGGAATTCCAGAGAGTGAAGAGATTTGTATAGGAGGTTATTTTAATGGACATGTGGGAGTTACAAATGAGAGCTATGAAAGGGTGCATGGAGGATGGAAGTATGTTAGCCGCAACGATGATGGGGACCAGTTGTTCCAAGCTGCGACCGCCTTTAACCTGGCAGTGGTGAATACGTGGTTCCAGAAAAGTCCTAAACACCTTATCACCTATAAGAGTGGTAACCACGCGACACAAATTGACTACTTGCTGATTAGAAGAAGTAAGTAGATCTGTGTCAAAAACAGCAAGGTACTACCGAAAGAAGGATTGGTGACGTAGCATAGACTATTACTGATGGACATTAAGACAAGATCCAAGTCCCTAAAGACAGATGAGTGTGCTAGTCGATTTAAGAAGAAAATTATAGAAAACGTGTTAGAAATGAAGGATATAAAAGAGAAATCTACCAAGGATTGTCGGATTAAAATAGCAAATAATGTCAGGAAGGCAGGAAGCTAAGACGGTGCTCGGCGAATCAAAAGAGAAAGGTATAATTGAGAAGAATACATGTTGGTGGAATGAGAATGTACAGAAGGAACTGAAAGAAAAGAAGAATGCATTCAAAAATTGGCAACTAGAAAGAGGAAATGAAAGTGAAAGGGAAACCAAGAGAATGAGTCTTAAGAGAATGAAAAAAAGGCCACTAAAGCGGTCGCTATATACAGCCAGATCTATTGCTCAGAAACGGTTGTGTACCGATTTAGATGGATCTCGTGGACAAAAGGACTTTACCGTATGACAAGAGCTAGTGAAGAAAGAGCGAAAGAGATTAAGCATGTTAGATGTATGAAAAATGAGACAGGTAAAGTTCTAACGAAAGATAAAGAAGTAACAGAGCGCTGGAAGATATACTTAGAAAAATTAAAGAATGAGGAGAATGACTAGAATAGGGTGATTAATAGGAAGACAGAGAACGTCGGGCTTGTGAATGAAATCAGCGTTTATGAAGTTAGAGAAGCAGTGAGAAGTGTGAAAAACGAAAAATCGGAAGGGTCAGTCGGTATACGGTATGGAAGTTGATTGAATAAACTGGGAGAAGACTGATAGAAATTGCTGACTTTATTCTTCAATACGCTGCTGCAAGAAGAAGTGATGGCTACGGAATAGAGCACCAGTATTCTGGTGCCCATATACAAAAATTAAGAGAATGTGCAATACTGTGACGGCTATCGGGGAATAAAGTTTATATCATATAGTATGAAAGTTTGGGCGAAAGTGATAGAGAAGCGATTGCGAGATGAAGGTTTGGGAGAAAGTGATAGAGAAGAGATTGCGAGATGAACGTTTGGGAGAAAGTGATAGAGAAGCGATTGCGAGATGAAGGTTTGGGAGAAAGTGATAGAGAAGAGATTGCGAGATGAACGTTTGGGAGAAAGTGATAAGAGAAGCGATTGCGAGATGAACGTTTGGGAGAAAGTGATAGAGAAGCGATTGCGAGATGAAAGTTTGGGAGAAAGTGATAGAGAAGCCATTGCGAGATGAAAGTGAGATCACTCAAAACAAGTTCGGGTTCGTGTCTGATCGCGGGACAACAAACGCCATATTTGCACTCCGCCAAATGTGCGAAAAAGTCGCGATGTGCACAGGAATCTGCATATAGTGTGCGTTGATCTGGAAAAAAACGTACGACCGGGTATCTAGAGCAATTTTTTGGTAGGCATTGAATGATAAAGGTATACCTGGTAAGTATGTGAGGTTAATCTGTGCCATGTACAAACGATCCGGGACGTAAGTACGAACCGCCGCAGAGAATTCCGACGAGTTCAATGTGGCGGTGGGCTTACACCAAGCGCTATCTCTTCCTACTAGGTATCGGTGCCTTGACGTCGGAAATACAAGAAGAGACCCCTTGGTATAGTGCTGTACTTGGCATAGTGCTCGTCGGCAAAAAATACCAGAGAAATGGCGATGCAGGTCTCTTCAATTTTACACACATTGCTCTCGACGGAGCACCATTGCTAGTACGTCAAGACTTCCAATACCTAGGGTCCGTTATCCAAAGCAAAGGAAAACTGGATCGTACTGTGAGGCACAGAATTGACGCAGCTAAAATGGCGGCAGGTAAAAGTGAAGATATATAAGGCCTGCAGTTTTGTATGGATCAGTTTGTTGAACTACTAAAGTGGTGGATGAAAGGCGCAGCAGAGATACGAATATTGCGATGGATGTGTGGAGTAACGAAAATAGATAGAATACGGAATGAATATGTTAGAAAAAGTCTGAAAATGACACCTGTGACAGAAGTAGAGAAGTACGCGTTTGGAGATGTGACGAGACAAAATGACAATGAGGTTGTTAAGAGAGTTTTAGGTATGAATGTATGAAGGAAGGCTTTAGAGGAAGAGGTAGGCCTAAGAAAACATGGATGGATTGCGTGAAAAATGATCTGTGTGAGAGAGGAGTGAGCGAATATGATACGAATATGGAAGGAAAAAACATGTTGCGCCGACCCAAGATGATGGGGGAAAGGCCAGGAGAATGGTGACTCTAGAATATTCTGAAGGACCAATCATTCTGTCGGTAGGTTATGTCCATTTTTTAAATTTTATATCAATAGCTGAATTACTGTCGTCCTAATTAACTTTGCGGTACAGAAATGGTTTAAATTTAGTAAGGATCAAATTGTATTTAGATTTAAACTAACAATGTTTGTAATTTTATTGAAATGATAATATTTGTAACAGAGTTTATAAAATTTATAAAATAATTATAGATCTCTTTATAAAATTCAGGAGAAACAGTCTTCATTACTTGGACGACAATAACTTAGTCTCGTATCGTATATTCAGCTAAGGATATTAATTTATGTTTTTATACACATTACGCATCTGCAAACTCCTATAGCATATATTATTATAACGAATGAGTTTTGGTGAAAGAACTTTTAGATATTTCGCGATGTCTTAAATGTATTTCACTTAAACGCCTTATTGTTTCTCTATTTATTATTTAGCAACTTGAATAAAAATCGTACGTACGTTCTTCTCCTGTGGAATATTCTAGAATGTGGTTTGTCGTTTCACTTTAATGATGAAAGTATATTCAAGATAATTCTTAACGAGTATTGTTCCACAGTTCCATAGAGTAAACCGATTATTAAAATTGTATTGAGAAACAGGACTGAATTTGTAGAAATGTTTAATTCTTTAAAATCGGTGCCTATTTTGTTAGGGCTTTTGAAAGACAACATCAATAGCATACATTCAAAACATCACGGAACAACAACAACAAAAAGCAGGCAAAGAAAAAAATCCACTATGAAATACTACTATACTTTGAGTGGTTTACTTAAATCTAAAATACAGATAACACGTTTTAAAATAAGAAAGAAAAATAATTAAAAACTTACATTACGCAACCAAGTGCAGACTAATTTAAGTTATTCGCTTCTATTTTGTGTTGTTGTATTAATTTAAGTTATTCGCTTCTATTTTGTGTTGTATTAATTTAAGTTATTCGCTTCTATTTTGTGTTGTTGTATTAATTTAAATTATTCGCTTCTATTTTGTGTTGTTGTATTAATTTAAGTTACTCGCTTCTATTTTGTGTTGTTGTATTAATTTAAAAATATATATGAAAAGGCAAAAAAGAAAACTAATTTTAAATAGATTTGTATAGCATATATGTATAGATTTAAATAGATTTGTATAACGTAATATAAATTGTTCGGAAATTGGGTAATAAACATGTACTATTAGCGCCAAATTTTAATTAGCTCAATTCTGTTTTTGAAAATGCTATTGCAACACATCACTATAAATGTAGTCGAGAATTAATGATTCTGAACAAATCTTCCTTGCCTTTCGTTGAACTATTTCAGTTTGAAATTGATTAGAATATTTCAGTTTTCAAAAGATTAGAATAGGATAACACTGTGGAGATCGTTTTTGTATGAATTCTAGATAAAATGTGAAAAATATTTAAATTGATACAAGGTTGGTTATCAAAGCGACATATTTGAATTAGTCTGTTATCGGTTTGTTGGTTTTCTTCAGTTTGTTGTAATCATTAAACAATGTTTGAACGTCGTGAAGGGATTTCTCGATTTGCTTCACGAAGTTCGTTGAACTCTGCAAAAATAAAATAATTAAATAAAAAAAATCGAAAAGTATTAATACACAAAGGATTCGAACATTCTAGCAAATGATTTAGCTGAAATAGCAAATCGGAAAATCATGTTTTTTCAGTAATGTTATTACCTATTTATTAAGTTCTGTTGAGAAAATTGCTACTTACATTTACATTTCCGTTCATTATTGATGGCTGATTGTAAAATAAAATTTGATTACAGCTTTTTGTGGGATTCATTTGATGAAATAATTGTATTTCAAGTTTGAATTCTCATGTTTCTTTGTGATTTTTTTAAAGTGACACATTTCAACTTACGGTTATTGGGCAGCTCTTCTTGCTTGAGACGTGGAAAAATATAGTATCTTCACCGACAATGATGTACGAGACACCATAGCCGTCATCCGCGACGGGACCGAACCCACCACCCGCGCTTACACATTTAGGATACTTTTTCAGATCCAGGAGGCTGGTTTGACCTAAGCAAACAACATCTTTGATTTTTTTTGTACGAAATTATAATAACAACAAATAATAATAAAAGACAGCGACTGTTTTTTTTTAAGTTTTCAACAATAAAATAAAATTATTGACTAGACTGCCGTTGTGGTTGCCCATGGCAATAGGTAAGATTGAATGATTGAGTGACAATTTTTTAAATTGAATATCCCCCCACCCCAGAATTCATTGCTTGCAACGATTTCAATACACCCTTTATTGCTTACCGTAGGGTGTTTGGCTGGTGGACAGACGCCATGGTTCATTGAAGACTTCCTGCAAGAAGGGCGACTCGAGTTCCAAATATTTAGCGACGACATACAAACAGAAAAGGTGGCGGTCGATGCCCCGACCCGCCATAGCGTCTTGGTAGCCGAGCTGATGTCTGTTACTGGCTTTTATGAATAACGCCATGCGCTCTTCGATCTAAAAACAAAATATAAGTTTCAACATTGAATTTAATTTCCTCAAAATTAAACCTAAATAATTTTAATGTTAAAATAAAAACGACTGTTCGGCCAAACACAAACTAGAACCAGTTTCACTCTGGATCCTGACTGATAACATACATCTAAATTTGTTCAGACACTTAACTTAGGATGTAATAAAGAAACTCATAATATACATAAGCTCTGAAAATGTTATACTCCTTTCTCAGATCTTTCTTAGTGGAAAACCACTGGTCACACTCTGGGAAACAATATACTTGAGCTTCCTTAATTCCTGGTTGATTCACCAGCTGATAAGATTTTTAAGATTTTTATCAATAAAAAATGAGAATACGCCTAATAAAATACCTAGCGCTGGTGTCGTAGCTCACTAGTCCATAGAGCTCATAATCTTAGTGCCCAGGTAATACAATAGGTTAAGAAGTTTATGTGCGAGTAATTTTTATAGTGTCAATGAAAAAATGTAATTAGTTGAACTGCGAGTGTCTACGATATCAAAGCAGTTTGTACCAGATTCATATTGAAAATAATCAGCCTGCCGGTTATGAGTGTAAAATGTATAATAAATTTAATAATGTAAAATATAATTTATATATTAATACGTGAAGGAAAAACTTTGTATCCCTTTTTACGAAAATTGCGCGGACGGAAGAGTATGAAATTTCTCACACTGATAGATAATATAGAGAAGGAGTGCAGAATGTTAATTTTTTTTTTAAATTATGCCTAATAAATACATTAAATCAATAAAAAAACATTACACACACTACCATGTTTTTGACGCAAAACACATGCATACTATTTATTTATTGTCAAACTTTTGTTCTTGACGTCTGTGGTCAAATTAAGAATATATTAAATATTGTTTGTCTTTATTAATATTTTTCTATGTATAGTCTTGGCGAAATTTGTGATTATAGAAGTATAATAAATAGTCTTTGAATATAGAATCATAACAGTGTACAAACTTATAATTTCAATTAATTATATACGAATTTCGACTACCGGGCTACCACTAGTATTCTTTAATTGAAAAGTACCACACTCAGTGTACCACTTTCCGTATATACACCCAGTGTTTTATATTATCTTAGAAGTAAAGCACATGCGGTAAGCCTTGTGTTAAGGGTTAACCTTCGCTTAAATAAGCTCTTTTAAAAGAGAAGAAGAGATTTAGTATGTAACACCTAGTTATTATTAAACGATCACTTACACTACTGTTAGGATTTTCCATGGCGCGGACCCACTCGGTGCTTTCAATGGTGCAGGATCTTACTGTCTCCGTGCGACCTTCGCGGAACAATCTGGTCATAGACGCCTCATACGTGAGACAGAAACGGCTTGCGTCGCGGTAGTAAGACAGTTGGAGAATCAGTTGAATGAATGCGTCCGGAGATACACGGCATTTCTTCATGAAACCTGCAACGTACAAACAGTTAAAGATGTTCATCATGTTTCATTTCTTTTGTTTTAAATTTCTCATCACATCCCATTTGATATTAAGCGATTACCTCCAAGACACGAGATCTATATTGTATTAAAGTAGTGGTTAAATAAAATATTCAGTACACTTTAGAACAAGATGGTGGATCACGTCTATGCGAGTACAAACTATACAATTACCATTACTGCCCTTGATCAGTAATTTCTTTACGCGAATGTCATTCGTTGTATGAGTCTTTTTCCCCCTTCCTATTCTCTGGTAGCCTAAGAGGCTATTTCAGCTACGCTCGGACGGATAGGTGAGCTCACGGGCTCAACCTGAGAGAATTGGTTAACACTAGCCCTACCAAGAGTAGTGCTTCGCAAAATTGACTACCGGATCGGAATCGCGACCCACTGAGAACATCCAGCAAGAAACTCAGTGGGCAGTCGCTTATGATCACAATGGTTGGTGGAACATTTAAAATGCTAGCCATCAGATTATCTAGGATAACTACATCACAAAAGGCTGTCAGGTGCTTTGTCCGATCACGAGTAAAAAAATAAGACATGGTACAAATCGACCACTATTTAACAACAAAATTATCTAAAATAAATGTCTCGCATACAAACCTTTTCCATATTTGGTGTACATCAGAATCCTTAGGTCTACATCATTGAGGAGTTTATGAGCGACGCTATACGAAATATCAATGGCGCTCAGTATTTCTTCTTTATTTAACTCCCACTGGAGACGTATTGGCGCTGGCGGATTAGTAACAATAGTGCCCTTGGTGTTGCCATCCGGCTGGTACCTGTTGAAACAAGGTTATTTTTGTATGTGATGAAGGACAGATAACCAACTCGCATACCGAATGTAAAGCAATTATCAGAGCCGAAGGAAATTGTTAGGCGAATATCGCAGCCTACATAAGGTTTAAGTTTCAGTGGTTTTGGGATATTATATTACTTCTTTGAAATCTCTGGTGGTAGGACCTCTTGTGAGTCCGGACGGGTAGGTACCACCACTCCGCCTATTTCTGCCGTAAAGCAGTAATGCGTTTCGGTTTGAAGGTCGGGGTAGCCGTTGTAACTATACTGAGACCTTAGAACTTATATCTCAAGGTGGGTGACGCATTTACGTTTTAGATGTCTATGGGCTCTAGTAGCCACTTAACATCAGGTGGGCTGTGAGCTCGTCCACCCATCTAAGACAAAACAAAAAAAAGTCTTATTTGTAAATTTGTACAGAATATGCACAGCAGGTGATCGGGGGCATACCATTGTATACTGATTAATTAATCATCTTCTTTTATCCTCTCGAAAATATATATTAATATTTTTTTAACTATAACAAAGTTTACTCTTCAAAACTATTACGACATTATGTGACTTACCCTATTTCAAGTTCAGACCAAATAACGTATTCCCAAAGATGACCCATAACAGGCGCATCAGCCCTAAAATAAAATAATATAATACATTACAAAACATTCTAGTACATTTAAACTGATCATATTAAATAATATAAGTTTACTTACCAACTGTGTTCCGCATTGAATCCAACCTGACAAAAAAAAGTTAAAGAAAATTATGGTGTTTTGAATATTCAAATCTTTGTGGTACTGCAGTTGTCCGGCCGCTGAAATAATGTTTACCGAGTGGATCGTGACCGAACCGCACGATGTAGCTTTGAAATGGCGCTCGGTTTAGATAGTAAAAAAAATAGTTTATTTATCCTGCTAATGAATGATTTTCATTGATAATTGTTGTAATCTTGCATTCAATTTGTTGTGATCATACTTTCTCCGCGGCCGGACAGCGAGTCTCTTGTCGACATCATGTAACTATGCTCTGTACAGAGTCTAAGGAATTCATGAGATTGTCAACTTTACTGCTCATCTATTTTTTTTATTTATTGCTTTTGATGGATGGACGAGCTCACGGGCTGTGAGCTCGTCCATCCTGGTGTTAAGTGATTACTGGAGCTCATAGACATCTACGATGTAAATGCGCCACCCATCTTGAGATATAAGTTCTAAGGTCTCAGTAGAGTTACGACGGCTGCCCCACTCTTCAAACCGAAACGCATTACTGCTTCACGGTAGAAATAGGCGGGGTGGTGGTACCTACCCGTGCAAACTCACAAGAGGTCCTACCACCAGTAATTACGCAAATTATAATTTTGCGGGTTTCATTTTTATTACACGATGTTATTCCTTCACCGTGGAAGTAAATCGTGAACATTTGTTGAGTACGTATTTCATTAGAAAAATTGGTACCCGCCAGCGAGATTCGAACACCGGTGCATCGCTAGGTACGAATGCACCGGACGTCTTATCTTTTAGGCCACGACGACTTCATCGATATAAAATCTAAATTTATATAAAAACACTAGCCGTACTCGCCCGCTTCGCTGGGCATTTAAAATTAACATTATTATTTATTGTCATTATTATTAGAGAGTCCAACACTCATATAAATATTAGCCTATCCATTAAGTACATGTATTTTCTACATGGATACCAAGTTTCAAGTCATTTGGATGCATGGTTCAGTAGTTATAACGGCACGTCCGTAAAAACCATTGTAGATTACCATTGTATTAGTATAGATGTCTGCCATTCACAATCAGTAAAAGTGAAATTCTATTTATTTATTATTGTATTTTGCTTTTATTTTATGTTCTCTTCGGTATTTCAAATATCAAAGGTGATATAGAAGTTTTCACATAAAAAAAAAAATCTTATCTTAAAGATTGCATAGATATATAACAAAAATTATTAGAATTCATTAAAATTTTAAGGTGTTGAATCGGAAATTCAATGTAAATCCGAACTCGGGACTTTAACGTCTATCTTTGTTTATTGTCAGAAGTCTACTTACGAAGCCATTAGTACTAAAACATAAGTTGAAGGATTTGTCGAACCAACGATCATATCCTTTACCGTGCAGTAGCACGTGACCAAACTCATCCAGCTTCTTTGGATCGGTCTCGTCGTAGCCATATTCCATATCGTCTGCAAAAAAACAACAACTTAATTAGGTTATTGTCTTTTCTTTAAATCTAAGACCCTACGAAGGGTTGATATAATGATTTATCTTCACGGTCGGAGGCTCCAAGCTTCACTTTTCTACAGAGAGGTCCCGAGAAATGTGCTTAGTAATAATTGTTGTTTACACTACGACTATTTATTTATTTATTTCATTTACTTCAGATTTTGCATCCATATTACATTCATTAACATTTCATTTATACCAGAATTAATAGATAGATAATATTATAATGATTAGTTTCCAAATAGCACAGGTAAATTTTATACTACTATCTGTCAAGAGAAGATCTAAGGCTTACACACTCCATTTTCAGTACAATTAATTTATTTTTTGTAGTCCTCTAACACAAATAGTCTTCAGTAAATTCGTTTGTTCACTTTGTCTATTACAAACTAGACAAAAGTTTCAAATTGTTATGTATACAACCAAAGAATATAATAACGCTCTACGGAAAGAATGCTACACTTCTAGGTGTAATGAATAAATTAAAAACTGATATTTAGTGATTGTAACATCTTGATGGTAAAAAATTTAGTTATTATCAGCCTACTCCGAGGGGTTTATAACAAAAACATTTTATAACTAAATTACTGAAAATTTTGAAATAGCAATATGTATTGCCTGATGGCTTAAATTCCATTCGCACATTATTAATACGATAAAATGGAGATTAAAGATATTGATCATTAGGTGATATCGATTGGTAAAAGGCTATTTAGTTTAAGCAACATTTTTGCAACTTTACAGGAAAACTATTCAAAAAATATCATAACAAAAGACTATTTGAATGGAGTAAGCTTAATTGAAGTTCAATTAAAAACATTGAACTGTTGATACTGATAACAAATAAAACGGAACTTTAATTACAAAGAAAAAGAACGCGTATTAAGCGAAATGTCGCTTAAACCAAATAAGCCTTTCATCCTTCGATATCTATGTATATATATAAAAATGAATTGCTGTTTGTTAGTCTCGATAAAACTCGAGAACGACTGGGCTGATTCGGTTAATTTTGGTCTTGAATTATTTGTGGAAGTCCAGAGAAGGTTTAAAAGGTTAAATAAATATGAAAATGCTCGGAATTAAAAATAAAAACAACAATTTTGTTTTTCCTTTGATGTGTCCCCCGTCCGTCGGGTTCCTTTTGTTTATTCAATACAAAAGTTTAGGTCTTTTATTTATTGATTGAGGCACTACGAAGTCTGCCGGGTCAGCTAGTAGAGAATATAAAGAAGAAGTGCACAATGCTAATATTTTTTTACAATAATGCATAAAATGTACATTAAATCAATAAAGAAAATATTACACACACTACCATGTATTGGACACAACGCATACATATAAATATACTCTTTGTTTGTTATCAATTGTCAAACTTTTGTTATTGTTTAAAGTCTGATCAAATTGAGAATAGATTAATATTGTTTGTCTTTAATATTATTTATCTATTGTGTAGTTTTGGCGAAATCTGTGATTTATTATAAGACTAGCTGTACCCGTCCGATTCGCTGAGCATTTAAAATTAACATTATTATTTCTAATAGAACTCACCCAAGCTGACCGTGAAGGCAGCGCGCTCAATGCAATGCAGGGATGTACGGTTGTGACCGCGATTGAACATAGTCTGTCGGATTTGGGCCCAATGCGTTCGCTCTCCGGCGGTTAGCGCGGCCAGTTTCTCCTCACCGATCGCCGGCTCCGATTTATCGTCCAGTATCTGTTGTATTTGCCTACGGAAACAATATGAAACGAGTTTTATTCAAGGAGGCGAGGAAACTAATATTTCAAATTTGAAATTGATTAATAGTAACGAAATCACAATTGTGTATATTTTTTTTTATGATTGAAGGACTACTGGTGGCCCGGAGGCCTTTCCAGTTTCACCAGGACAGGTGGGCGAGCAAAGGCTCAGCCAGGAGGGGTGGTATTTGCTAACAGCTACCCAAGCGCCTCCGAAGGAGACCGAACAGCTCAAGAGCAGCTGCTTCGCGAATGAATCTACTACCAGATCGGAATCGCGACCCGCTGAGAAAATCCGGCGAGAAACTCAACGGGTTGATGCATGGATTAAGTTGCATTACGAACTCTTTATAGAGTTCTACGAGTACGGTTACCGAGGTCTCTAAGCCTGCTCCTAGTGTTAGAGCTGCAGGCGTCTAATGCAAAGGTCATTGGATCTGATGGATCTGTAAGGACGTGTCTAGGGCGTCGACGGTGACTGGCTCCTAAGTGATCAGGATTCGGGGAATGTGTGTATTATGTGATCTCATGTGTCTACTAAAACGCTTTTAGTAGAATAGATTTAGTGCGGATGAGCGAAATGCTCAACTGATGTTAATCGGTGTAACTAATAATATTACTAGATATATATATATAAATAAGTCTAGCTAGTAATATGCCTAGCTTTTGTCTAACAATGAAAATATTTTTATTCGTCCTTAAGGCTTGACAGTGAGTACGGCGTCTGACCTTTTTAAATAAGACATGCAATGCAATGAAATGGTGTTGCCTGCCCGTTCGGATTACAATGCAATGTTTCTTTACAAGTAATTAAATAATACTCACACTTGAATTTCGGCCGGTTTTAACAGACGACCCCTCAAGTAAACCAACACCTTAAAATATTTGCCTTTATGATAAACCACGATGTGCGAGGAGTCTTGATAGTGCACAAGTTTATCGGTTTCAATGCCAGGCGCGCGTACCGTGTTGAAAAGGCGCTCGTATTGCCAGGAGCACAGGGGAACCATGTTTTGTAGCATTATCTGAAAATAACGGTCGTCAATGTCGATCTGGGAATTATTACTGGTGGTAGAACCTCTTGTGAGTCCGTGCGGGTAGGTACCACCACCCCGCCTATTTCTGCCGTGAAACAGTCATGCGTTTCGGTTTGAAGGGTGGGGCAGCCGTTGTAACTATACTGAGACCTTAGAACTCATATTTCAAGGTGGGTGGCGCATTTACGTTGTAGATATCTATGGGCTCCAGTAAACACTCAACACCAGGTTGGCTATGAGCTCATCAACACATCTAAGCAATAAAAAATAAATAAAAAAGTCGAACGATACCAAGTATGGTATACAGCACGGATAAGGCCAAGCTCCTTTGTAGTCAAAGAGATTTTAAATAGGTGTTAGGCGGTTACCGGAGACTATGCACACCTTCATACAAATAATTATATAACTCTTCCTGCGAGGCCCTCATGTCGTGGGAACGCGCGTTGTCCGACTGCTAAGATGGTAGCGGCTGCCTACTAAGCGAATTCCTTGCATTCTCGTTCAAGCATCCGATCCCCTCACGAGCTTAAAATTGTAGGGTCACTGCGATAACACTACAACCAGACGCGCAGCACACACGTAAGAAAACCGACATAGAGTCGTCGATTCATCGTCACGGGCCTGGGATACCCTGGTGGACGGAATCGCGATACACCGCCAACCGGATAATACCCTTTTTTTGGACCGGGAGCCGAACCTCATACGAGATGTCCGCAATAATACCCTAATCATACAGTAACAAGCCGTAGTTTCCGAATAAAGAAAATAAATAATAGCTGGACAATCTATTATCTTGTAAGATCTATTGACCGACGAATCACTAAGTGTTCAAGGTATATTTTATACTAGCGACCCGCCCTCGCTTCGCTTCGGAAACATTAAAACACACATGAAACCAAAAAATAAATTTAAAAAAGTAGCCTATATTCATCAGGGACAATGTCGGCTTCTAATGGAAAAAGAATTTTTCAAATCGGTCCAGTAGTTTCGGAGCCTATTCGAAACAAACAAACAAACAGATCTTTCCTCTTTATAATATTAGTATAGATATAGACAAAGAGAACGGTCGTAGTCATTGTTTTTGGAAAAATTAAGAAAGGCAGTAAACGGAGGCGTAAAAGCAATATACGAACTTGTCAAGACCTTATCAAAGCGATAACCTTTCAAGATAAAGATTACTACATTGTAATTATCTTGGCTGGAAATCATGGCAGGTACGTGCGCGTAGGTGTTTGTTTTAAAGCCCACAAAAACATTTTTATATGTTTTTAGATTTCAACCTTTTGCACTCGAAAGGTGGGTATCGCTCAGATGGTTTAATTACAAAACGACAAAAAGAACGATATGAACAGATAACAAAAATATAAACAAGATGTAAATCATCTGTCTATTAACTAAGTAAATATAGTATTTGAATGATTCTTTTCCACCTGATGATTGTCTGGAAGAGATCGCTCTTAGCGATAAGACCGCCAATTGTACTTTCTTTTTTTTGTTGGTGTACAATAAAGAATAGTCTCTCTCTCTCTATATATATAGATATATAAATATAAAGAGATATATCTATTATACTAATATATAAATCTACCAGTGGTTTTTACGGATGTTCCATTATAACTACTGAGCCATGCATCCGATTGACTTGAAACTTGGTATCCATGTAGAAAATACATGTACTTAAAGGATAGGCTAATATTTATATGAGTGTTGGACTCCCTACACCAGTTGCGGGGGCGTTAATGATGAGAATGTTTGTGGGGGTGAGAGAAATAATAATCTTAATTTTCAATACCCAGCGAAGCGGGCGGGTACAGCTAGTAATTAATAAGTTCACAATAAAATCTTTCTGGCGCTAGGACGTCTTGTGATCCCGCACGGGTGGTAAGTACCAACCACCACCCTCCCTACTTCTGCCGCGAAACACGTCCCGAAGCGGCGGGTGGGGCAGCCGTTGTACATTAAAACTGAGACTTAAAACTCGTGTATAGAGATGGCGGCACTTACGTTGTTGTTGGCTATGGGCTCCGGTAACTACCTAAAACCAGTTTTTATTTATTTATTGCTTAGATGGGTGGACGAGCTCACAGCCCACCCGGTGTTCAGTGGTTACCGGAGCCCATAGACATCTACAACGTAAATGCGCCACTCACCTTGAGATATACAAGGGTTACAACGGCTACACCGACCTTCCAACCGATACGCATTACTACTTCACGGCAGAAATAGTGGAGTGGTCGTATCTACCCGCGCGGACTCACAAGAGGTCCTACCACCAGCCATGAATTCGTCCATCCATATTAACAATAAACAAAAAATATTAAGAGTTATCGCTCGCACCTTGTAATGAATTTCGTCTATCTGAAGTCACCGTACCTTCAAGTAACGGAATTTATCGCACGTTTACATTGTTGATTGATCATTTGTTGATTTTTAATGTAAAGGACACACATACATATACAATATGTATCGTGATGATTAATTATAAACACATCCAACTATTGATTAAATTAAAATGAACTTACGGGTTCCAATTCTTGACTATCGATAAGCCTACGGAACTTTAAGCAGAGGTGGATGATGACGCCCGCACGGGCCGCTTGAATCTGTGTAGGTCTCAATAAAATAGCATCTGTTCCATAGAAATTGGAATTGACCATCAGGGGTGAGCGACCTTTTAAATAAACATACTCCTCCCACCAGTCCGATACGTAGTTGCTAGACCACCTGTAAAATCGATTTCATTTATTATGGAATTCAATCCTCAATAGCCCTCGCCTAATAAATCAAACCCGTTCAAAGATACACTTAACGTATAAAATAATATTAAAAAGCAAGTTTCCAATAGTGCCGGTGTTGCTATGTCAAAATAATTATAATATAAATGAATAGAGTACTGACCACGCCCGAGTGAAGTAGCATGTATGTGAATAATAGAAAGTGCGGGCGAGAGAAGCAACGAATGATTTCGTTATTGTATTATCATCATTATTATAAGACTGCGAAGTTTTAGATCATTACTAAGTAAACTACTTATTGAAATGAAAGTAGTAAGTACTTGAATCAACGTAGATAATTCAATTGTTGTGTCTAGACGTGCTTATCGACAATCGGTCAGTGACTAGAGTGTGGTAGCAATAATGTAAACCACGGAAAATAAATCTCATTTTTTATTTCTCAGCGCACGCAATGAATTGGGCCTAATTTATTATTGACACTTATCGTTTCGTAACACATTTTTCGGGCTCATTTTACGGATTTTCGATAAGGCTCGGTCTGATAGCGAGTAGGTTATTTACAAACGCATTCTTACGCACTTGTAGGTCGAAAATTTTGTGGCAGACACTAAGAAATTAGCTTAAATGTTACGTTCTAATCTAATTGAGTTGACGTGAGATTTTGATGAATCTTTTAATTAAAACTTTAGTTACTTGGGTAGTTAATCATAATTGTCGAAGCACAAAAGAAAATAGTTGTACAAATACATGATACATAGAATAAAACGTTCGTGAGGAAAGCAATGTATGTGTATAAAACTCCGACAACCGTAGTTTAAATATTAAATAGAGATATCGATAGATTAGACTTATACGAAGTGATGAACATGACTGTTACTTACCAAGATTTGAGTATCAGATATCTCTGTAGTTTAACCGCAATTTTTGTTTTGAATTCTACAGCTAATTTTTCCACCCTTTTGTAATTGTCATCGTCAAGTAATGGTCGGACACTGAGTAGGTACTGAAAGAAAAGGTTGATTATATAAAAAACTAGCTTTTGCCCAAATCAATTGTCAATTTCAGTTGACGTTCATGACAAATAATTTATTTATAAATATAACTATTTAATTTAAATAATAATTGCATTTATTTACTCCACAATACAAATACAAATAAATTTTCATATTTTTATATTTCTGTTCGTAATACATTTTTTTGTTAGTTACAACAAACTGCCAATTTCTAAAACAATGCTTTCGATTTAGTTTCGTCACTCACCCTATTCATAGTATCTTCAACAGCCGGCAGAGGGAGTCTGGGCAAAGAGCCTTGAAAACTGTACAACTTTGGTTTGTTCCATCCGGATAGTACTTTCACGACGCTCACCCACAGTTTGGTCTTTAACGATATTTTAGCACCGGGACCACGTGACTCATACATCCAACCCTGAACAAGAAGCCAACGTAAAAGTCAAATCACAATTTTATATTTTTTTAAACCGTACATTGCTTGCAGTAAGCCGTCAAAACTGTTTTACATTGTCTCAAGTTTTTGATGTAAATGATCACAAAAGAAAGTTCTAGAATTAGTTGCTTATCGCGCTTTGATATTTCTGCAATCTGTACGAGAATGTATTTTTTTTTTGTTGCTTAGATGGAAGGTGAACGAGCTCACAGAACAACTGGCGTTAAGTGATTAAGTTGTGATAATCATCACAACACGAATGGAAGGTCACAGTATTATGTGGAAGGTGGCGACCTTGATGCATGAAATCGATGTCTCAATTTTATTGTATAACGGCTGTTCCGCATTTCGAACTGGAGCGCTTGACTGCTTCGTAGCAGAAACATGTTGGATGCGATGATACGATTGCATTATATTATTCATCCATCATGGAAGTCGTTCGTGAGAACGTGTTAAGTACGTAATTCATTAGGAAATATTGGTGCCGGCCCGTGGATTTGAGCACTGGTATATGGTAATGCGTACTTGAAACCTTGGAACTTATATCTCACGGTGGGTGGCGCATTTACGTTGTAGATGTCTACGGGCTCCGGTAACCACTTAACACCAGGTGAGCTGTGAGTTTGTTCGCCCACCTAAGCAACAAAAAAAAAGGTGCATTGCTTTATACACAACGGACGTCAAAAACGGTCTTCCAATATCAGCCCTACCATCAGAAAACACGGTCCACTCCATTAATTATAGACAGGTGCAATTATAATAAGCATTTCCAGGTAGCAATGCTCAAAGATTTTGCTATGGACATTAATTATTTCATCAAGTAACTCGAATTACGTATGTGCGTATGTAATTATAATAGTACCTAGTTCTGAGAATTTTGAAAAAATATCAGTGATTAATTGACCAAGATCGCTTAATATCAAATTGTATTAGTGTGGGATGTATTGATCATTTGTAAATTACCTTGTACATAAGCAGTAATTTCAGCAGATATCTCATCAAAAATATAACGATAAACCACATGGTGAGCGCTACTAAGAAGCACGCTACTACCTGGGCCCATGTTGAATTGCTGAATAAAAAAAAACAAAAAACAATATTTACTCATTTTAATCATATACATATTAATCACTTACTTTATAAAAAATTTTTGCGAAACAGTTACCGGATACGGAAAAGTTAAAATATGTAATACTTTTTTCCCTATCTATTAGTTGGTAGCCTAAAGGACTATTCCAACTACGAGCAGACGGGTTGGTGAGCTCATAGGCTGAATCTAAGAGAATTTGCTAACACCTAGCCCTATCAAAAGCAGTGCTTCGCAGGTAGATCTGAATCACAACCTGCTGAGAAGATTCAACGAGAAAATCGGTGGATAATGTAAAACCGATAAACAAGATTTTATGTATAAAAATATATTTTGTCACTATAGTAAAGTGTCGCTGTGTAAAAGAAGTACATAAGACATGGTCAATTTAGACGAATTATTTACATCTTTATTCGGCGTCAACTAATGAAGTTATTGTCAATTCCAGAGTATTTTTCTGATTATTTTAATTTTACGTCGCAATTGACTAAGTTAAAAGTTTTTAATTACTACAATTTCTAACTGTAGCGCTGTGATGAGAATCCTTTTAGGGTGGGTAGTTGTATTTCTCGTCTTCGTATGGATGTAGTGAATCGGTAAGCACACGGCTGGACGTGATTGAACTATTGTACCAAAGTCAAGTAGGAAAACTAGATTAGAAAAGCAAGTAGAGAAAAATGTTTGAGAAGAAGGAAGAGACGTAACATCGAACAAATATTGACTTGAGAAAGATTTTACAATACCTACTCTAACGTGAACTAAAAAATAATGTCACTTATGTCATAGTGTCAACGCGTTGGTGTGCTGTGAGTTTTTCTCCTTGAGGGACTCCGAATAGAGTCCCTTCTTAATTTCACGTGAAAGTCATATTTTTCGATCAACTTTTAATTAACACCACAATCGATGTAATAGTAGTTGTATCTTTGCAGCGGTTTACATGGTTCTTTTCATGTCTTCGTCTTTTTGGCGGTAATTATCTTAATGTCACAGACTATCTACCTTTTTTTTTTTTTTAATGCTTAGATGTGTGGACGAGCTCACAGCCCACCTGGTGTTAAGTGGTTACTGGAGCCCATAGACATCTACAACGTAAATGCGCCACACACCTTGAGATATAGTTCTAAGGTCTCAGTATAGTCAACGGCTGCCCCACCCTTCAAACCGAAACGCATTACTGCTTCACGGCAGAAATAAGCGGGGCGGTGGTACCTACCCGTGCGGACTCACAAGAGGTCCTACCACCAGTAAAAGTAAACCTACCAACATGTCGTGCGTTCCGGATAACGCATCATAAAAAATGTGCGTTCTTAAAGGCCACATCCTTAATTAATCGTTCATGATTAAACCTTCCACTGCCCGGTTGAATAGTTTACCACACTTGAATTTCAGTTATTAATTACATAACAAACATATTAATTAAAGCAATTATATAACAAATTTGAAGTTTTGGCTTCCACTATGAATTTGCATGTTATGTTAAGGAACGTTAAGAACCATCTTGCAACAAAAGTATTTCTTTCTGCCTACACCTAAGTATTTATAGGAATTAATATTATTGATATGTATTTAAAACGTTTGTATTCTTATATTAATTTTATAAAAAAGTAAGACTCAAAACCGAATAGGTTAACGCTAAACACCTAACGTGATAAAGTTAAATGTACGCGTGGGCAGTTGTTAACATGACACCATTTTACTTACGCGCTTACGTAATGAGAACACATCGATTTTATAGAAAACGAATTATCTGTAATTTACCAATTATACATATGTTCTTCATTTGAATCATAGTTTAGGGTCGCGACAGGTACAACTGAAGTTGGAGACTTAGTGAAATAAAGAGGTTTACACTCTCGGTTTGAATTCGGATCTTTTTACTGCCAAAATGGGCAAGGAGTTCATTTGTTGTTGATCGGTAATCGGCGTGACACATCCCTAACTCGACCTACTTCAGAGTTGAGGTCAAAGCTTCAATTAAAATTATAGCAACAGACTCTTCTTCCTCTAAATCAGAAACGACAAATCACAATATTATGATATTTTCATACGATTCATACTATGTATTAGAACATACTCTTTGTGTCGTTTCGGACAAATTCGCAACCCTTAGCGGTTCCGTGATGGAACTTGCTTGGTCGTTCCAAAACTGTTAATAAATGTCGACAATCATTCAGTTATCTTCACAAGTTATCCTGATTCAAGAAGGTCTCGACAACTCCGCGTAATCGGATGTAATGTGCGGCAAGGCCCTGACCTAATAACACCCTAGCTGTACAAACGACGCGTTGGCAAATTTTAAATTATCTGTTTATTTATACAATAGCATCCTAGTTACAAGACGCTCATACTGTTTTATATTATAGCCTATTTCAAAGAAATTGTACATATATTTTTTTAGAAATAGTTTCAGAAGTTGAGAAACTTTTGTCACATCTAACATTATTATTTTATTTCTTTCTCACCTAATTATTGACAATCTAAAGGACTATTCTAACTACGGTGAGCTCACGGGGCTCAAAACCTGAGAGGACTTGCTAACATTAGCCCTAGCAAGAACGGTGCTTCGCTGAATCGACCACCGGATTGGAATCGCGACCCACTGAGCAGATCCAGCGAGACACTCAATGGGCATATTATATTATGAGATTGTGCAGCATATCTTTGAGGTAACCAAAAATTTTACAAAGCAAAACAAAGTTTGAATGTATCCTAATCGTTACATTGTTCAGTTGATAAATTCAAATCCTGTTGATAGCAGTCAAGATAATGATCACACACGGAACAATGACTCCGTGTGGTAACGACATTTTGATAGGTCTTACTATATAAAATATAGTAATTAATTATATTATTAATGATAATTATCGTTTTCTTTCTTTTTTGACAAATTCCGTGTTTGATGGATAGGTTTTATGATTTTTTGACTCGATAGAGTTCACACGCACGTCCCATTTTATTTCGCTTGATATTGTTCAATATTTTTTTATGTTATCTGAATAAGGGCCGCTTTTCAAGAATGTACATCGTCCTATTTATTTCTTTATTGAAATCAAAACCCTTGTTGAGAAATGTAGCTAAATATAATACACGGATTGAAAAATTAATTCGAATTCGAGTTTTAAGATGGAAAGAAGATCGATCGAGATTTAAGCATTTAAGGTTGCCGACATTAAAAGGGGAACGCCTGTCCTGTTTGCTGTTTTTATTTTTTTATTTCAAATTTTCAGACGAGCGGATCAATATTATCGTCGTAGTCTCATACATTGTGATCTCTCAGTCTTGCATTTTTTATATACGCAAAGATGAGTCAACGGGCTCACTGTTTTTCGCCGCACCGGTTTTCGGAGCTCCATAGTACACACACAACAAAAACACCGCTACCCAGCCTGCATGTTATTACATTTTACTTTAAAACGTATATACCTCCGAGTTTTATTATTTCTAGAAACAGTTTCTTCGAAAGACACGCCAGGTATATTTAATGGACTTTAAAATTAGCACTAAATTACCGTGTAAAAGTTTTATTGTCTAACAAAATGCGAAATTACTCACCTTGGCATTATTGTTATCATTTTATCAACTAAGCCAAATGGTATGTTGAAGTTACTGAAATGGGCAGCTACAAGTAGTGTCCACAGCACATAAAGTGACTGCAGATGACCTGGGTACACGCCATTCAGTACATTGTTCTGTGGAACAATCCCTATGTTTATCATTCTTTTTTCGACATGTATGTTACATTTTATTAGTAATTAATGCGTACAGTTATTGAATGTGGTGTGATGATGTTACACAATTAATTAAATATTTCAATAATTTTAGATGAAACCCTTTAAGAATTTAGAAGAAAAAAAAGATGAGAATAATTAGCAATGTTTTACTACAACTTGATATCATTAAAACATGATTAAAAATAATTATATAAATTACTAACCCTAAAACGAGCAAGACGTTTCTTCCATGATCGAACACCCGATTCCCAAACTAGGTAGAGGACTTCACGGTCGAAATTCACATCCCAGCCATCGTGAGTTATTGCGAAGGAAAATGCCACAGCCGAATGAGCTTCTGCCATGGTGTTTTAGGTCTGTCGAACAAGAGAAAAGTGTTCAGGAGACCAATGTTTTAGATACCTACCACATCTGGTAAAACTGTTCTGAATTGTTAGGTTCTCGCGGTTCGCCTGAGGTTAAGCGCGCGCTAGCACTGCGACTCATATAGTCAATTGCGTTTGAAACGTAAAATTCGCATTTGTTTACCCTACTGCAGTGAAGCAGCCCTAAAAACTATGCTATAGATTTTATGCACATTTCGTTCTTTGATTTAACTTTAAATTAAATCATAATTTATGACTAAAGAAAGCAATGACAGGTAATAATCAGTAGACAAACTTAAGATTAGATTACTCAGTCACAATTGTTTGTAGTAATCACGTGTTTTAAAACTAGTTTTACTAATATATACTTTAATAATTGTATCGTGCTCTTAGTATATGGTAATACTAGGCAACTTCTATATATGGTAATCCATTATTTGAGGAGACTATACCAAAATAAAATTTTCACATGAATTGACCATCTTGGCCAGAATTGATGATCCAACTAACTTTCTTAAGATTTCCTGGAGTTTCTAACTTTCTAATAGTCAGTTGGAAAACTCTTCAGTAAGATTATAGAACTTAAATGAAACTTTCAATCTAAATTTGTTTGAATAAATATGTCGTGGTTTTTTTTCATTAGAATAAAATCAATATTGGACATTCAACATCAAGTTTTTTAGATTAGCCCCGTTAATCTATTCCTCTTTTGTCACTTTCGATTCCTTTATTTGGTATTTGAATTATTTACCCTACTGCACAAATAAAACTAATACTCTTTTAATTTTTTTATATACTCTACAGATCCAACCTGTTTAAATTGTAGCAATTATACCAATATTTTAATTTAAATCATAAGTTATTTAAAATTTAATTATTTATTAACATGAAAACTTTTTTGTGTACAATAGTTGTTAGGAATAGATTAAGTCATTATACCAGAGTGGACCAAGAACTGAATTTAGGGTGCATTAAGTTGGCCAGGAGGCCTTCTTATACCATTCACACAAGTAGGTAAAATGTTAATTAAAATTGGAAAGGCAAGCAATCTAGAGGGCAATACATAATATAACTGAACAAATGGAATGAAATCTCAACAAAAAAAATGTCTCCCTACTATCTCTTTGTGTTTTTGTTTCCTGAGAGCTATGAGATTTCCTTCTTCAACAAGATTTAAAGCGAATCTTAAAAAAGTACATCTGGTCTAAGCGAAAACAATTAGACATAAGGCTAACAAATATGTATTGGTTGACTGGAGGGAAATCCCAACTTTCGCCAACAAGTAAAATTTTAAATTACAAAACCATCTTAAAGCCAATATGGACATATGGCATACAGCTTTGGGGAACTGCCAGAAATAGCAATGTCGAGATCCTTGAAAGGTTTCAAAATAAAACTTTCAGAACAATGCTAAGATTACTGCATCACATAAGCAACAAGATCATACAAATAGACCTAAATATTCCCACAGTGAAAGAGGAAATAGTAGCTTACAGCAAAAAATACCAAGCCAGGTTATTGACACATGTCAATAAATTGGCGTCGGACCTAGGAGGCACAGGAGCAGTACAGTTTACTAGATTAAGGAGGCACAGTATTAGGTATACTACCTACAGAATAGAAATTAAATCTTATATTAAAAGATGAAGGTATCACTTTTTTTTTTTCCTACCTATGCTGATAGCCTTGAGAAGCTATTTCAGCTTCACCCTAACGTGTGTAAGTGAGCTCACGGGGCTCAAACCGAAGTGTTGCCAACACCTGACCTGACCCTACCAAGAGCAGTGCTTCGCAGAATCTTCGCAGAATCAGAATCCGCCAGATCGGAAATGTGACCCACTGAGAAGATCCGACAAGAAACTCAGTGGACTAAAATGTGTCACTGGACATCTAATTGTGTGTAAAAAGCACATTGCTGCGAGACAAGAGAAAAAAAAACAATCACTTTTCTTTCAGATAATGTTTTTTACAATAGACTTCTATTTCATGTAAAATTACATTTGTTTGTTGGTAAAATTTGAGTAACTGAAGAATTTATTTTAAATTAGGAGTGGGTAGTTTAATATGCAAAATACAAGTTGGTCATCTTTACTGTTGGCAGCACATCTTGTGAGTCCACACGGGTAGGTACCACCACCCTGCCTATTTCTGCTGTGAAGCAGTAATGCGTTTCTGTTTGTAAGATGGGACAGCCGTTGTAACTATACTGAGACTTTAGAACTTATATTTCAAGGTAGGTGGTGCATTTATGTTGTAAATGTCTACGGGCTCCAGTAACCACTTAACACCAGTTGGGCTGTGAGCTCGTCCACCCATCTAAGTAATAAAGACAAAAATGTAAACTTGAGATTTAATTGGGTAGGTTTAATTGTAAGCTACCTACCTATGTCTAAGTTAAAATGTAGTATACATTAAATAGTACGAACTAAATAATATATGCATATTAAGTAGTTTGTTTTAAGAATTATTATTTCACTATTGATTGATTTACTTAACATTTCATGAAACAATCATTTATGTAATGAGGGTATTCATAAATTTCTAGAAAAAATAAGATTTTTTAAAAATGAAATCTAACAGTTTTTTTTTTCAAAAACTGTTGTTTGTAATACTAATTTGCGAATAAAAAGTAGTGTTGACTTTTAAATTAAACATATTTGATACGAAAACTATGGTTGAAGTGAAATCGTGGCACACATTCGCAGGATATAAATATATGTGTTCGAATATACAACACGCACACACGCTTAGCAGGTGTCAAAGTCTAATTTCAGAAATACAACATCCATACGTTTTACGTAAATATTCCACATAGCCTAAAACACATTTCGCCTTCGGACCGATTTAAATTCGAATAGAAATTAAACTAAATTATTGTGTGTGGGTCACATGTTATCCACGTAGATTCTAGTACAATTGCTAATAGCATTTAATGATCGTAGTCTTAAATGAGTTCGCTTTTTTCCTAAAAGTAATCACTATAAGAAGAAATTATCTTACCTATTAATTCCGCAAGAAACTTTTCTGCACCAGGGACCAGGGTAGAAAAAAAAAAAACTGTGCAGGTACTGCCAATAGTAACAGTACCTTCTGAAGAAGCAAACTTATATACCAGTCTTAAGCATTTTGAAAGGTATTTGAAAGGTATCTAACTTTAAACGAAGTATAATTTAAATAGATGTAAACAGCTTTGAAAAAGTCAAGCTGCTGTACAAAAATTCGAAACAAATTTTTTAAAGAATATAACTCAACAAGTTTAACGCGTACACACTACTACGATCGACAACACCGAATGCTCTCTAATTTCTGAAACAAATGCCTCGCAGCTCGGTCGAGCGAATGTAAAACGTTTTGTGGTAGGTATGTAGTAGTAGTTTTATTTTTCCAAATGAAAAGGCACAAGCATCATACATACAGCCTAATCTTATATATATTATATGTTTTATGATAATATATATATATGATAATAAGAAATGAAATGAAGTTGATTACTATGAAACATGGCATGAAATGAAATGAGATGAGATGATGGGATGCAATATAATCTCAGTAAAGTGGTGGTGATTTACTGAGATTTTTTCAGTGGACTTTTTGGGAGGATCCCGAGAAGTTACGTCCAGCGGCTTTGTTTCATTTTCCCACATTTGTGAACTTTCACAGATATTTAACAGCTAATAATCCACCGTTATTACACATTTAAGCCTGAGAAACACTAAATAGACAAAATAAAACAAAACACACAACTTCACCCCTCGCAAAAGTCTCAAAAGTCTCTGGTAGGTTTGTAATTATACCCAGCGAAGTAACGAGTGCTGTCATGAACAACTAAAACTTAGTGCATCTTTTCTGCTTATTTTTAAAGAGACGGAATCAAATATTTGTTCACTAAAATGATATTATTTTTCATAAATACCCCAAGAAATGACGAATATGACACCCAATTAACTTTGCAAAATTAATGATCTCTGCTACCTTACATTTCAAAATAAATATTATTTTAGTACATATTCATTGATGTAAATTTTAGAAATTCATATTATAAAAAAAAAAACAATTTAAGTCTTACATGTTTAATAAAAAAAATGCAAGTAGCCCTTACCCCTAAAAAAATTTTTCATTGCATAGATGAGTGAACGAGCTCACGACCCACCTGTTATTAAGTCATCACCGGAAGCCATAGACAATTCAATGTGAATGCCACCGAAAACTGGGTACATTGCGAAGCAAGGCCGCAGTCATGACTCTAAAGAGAAATCGGCAGTATCGCTCTTCAATCCGTGATACATGACTACTTTGTGGCATAAGCAATATGCTGGTTCCTAGACGTACGAGCTCACAATACACCCTGAATGTGCACCGAAGATTAAGTATTTTTTCATTAATAAAACTAGTCCAGTCTTATGTAACATTAATAAGGTAATTATGTAATCTTTGAAACCCTTGTTTAATTGAGTTTTGAATTGACATTTAAATGGACTCTTTAACATTAACTTAAATTTAACAAATTGAAATGTTAAATTAAGAAAAAAATTGGACGCAAACGGACAATGTTATCCACCAAAATTTTAAGCTTCCCTTATTTTAAAATAACTATCAGTTGGAACGGTTTGATTGTTATAATAACGTTTTTTCGCTACGTAATATTAATATGGAGAGTTACCTGCAATTATATATTAAGCTATATTATTTCTTGCACCAGAATTTGAATAATAAATAGGCAACTCCAGAAGTATCTTGAGGACCGCCAGCTGGTCTGTGACCAACCGTACGATTACCGTCACGCTCGCTCAGCTGGCGATTTTCTTGTTTAACTTACTCATAGGTGGGACTTGGAGGGCAAGGACGAGGCTTTCGCAGTAAGTCTGATATTATATACCATCTATTCATGGCACGCATTGCTATGCGGATGACAGCATGGGGGATGCGCGTTATATCAGCCATTAGTCTTTCAAGGAGCCTGGCGCCACATACGATCAAAAATTGTCTGAAATGAAGAACTCTCTGGGGTCTCCGAGGGGGGTGAATTGAACTTAGTTCATAACTTAGTTCAATTCAACCTGTTCAAGATACACGTTTTCGCGTTCACAGCGAGGAATGACACTTTTTGCCAAAGTACTTGTCATTTCAAGGAGTATCCTTGCAACCTTCCGCGAGTATTGGGATACTTGGGATTGATATTTTGTGCATTCTAGGGCGCAAATTTTTGGGGCATTTTATAACGACCTATGTGCCGATTAAATGAGCATTGCACGAAACGTGAAGTGCGTTTATTGCAAATATTTTCGATATTTTTTTTCCATACCAATCCGTAAGTAGCCTAAGGGCCAGCTATCCTATGGTTGATAAGTGAGCTCACGGGCTCAACCTAAGTGAGTTTGCAAACACTGGTCCTAGCAAATGCAATGCTATTAGAACCTACCACCGATTTGGAATCAACCCTCTGAGAAGATCCGGCGAGAAACTCAGTGGGTGATTATTTGCATACTTCGCGAAATATTGAATTAGATAAGATAATTATATTATAAGATAAACAATAATTACTAAAAAAAACAAAATATCCTATATAATTTTAGATAAGTAACTCCAGTTAATTGAAGGCAATTGCCTGTATTTAGCAGAGTATCGAGCCTCGAGACGATCTTTGAGAACAAACCTTTGCATCCATATTACCTACACTGGGACAGCCTAAAATAGTAGCTGTGCTAACAGATTAGATTAAGTTTATCTTTAAGCGCTTAAACAGTTTGAATTTGTGGCTTTTTAAACATTCGGTATCTGTGAAAGGACACAAATGTAGGAAAATAAATGCTAAGGACACAAATGTAAGAAATATTATAAGAAGTGTCTTTTTTGGTTCTTTCAAAAAGTACAATAAACTCTCTGTTTTACATCATTTTACTTAGTTTCATTTGATTCAGTTTAGTTTCATTTCAGCTCATTTACTTTGTTGCTAAGAGTACTCTTTGGTAACACTATTCTAAATTACAATTTGAATATTAAAGTGTCATTTTGGTCAAAAATTATTATTTAGGTACTTAAACATATTTTAAATTATAATTATTAGTAATTTTCTTTCATAATTTTCTTATAATTACATTATTGCATTACTATATTACCTTCTGATTATTATTCGAACGGTTTCATCTAGATACTCTCTAAATCATCTCAATCAATCAATATGTTATACTCAACATCATCCTTTAATAATAATTCTAGTTTATGATGCTGATAATACTGCTATGCATATCATTTTATTACGCTTCATTTCATTTTGCGTTCTGTTCTTAAGGATTTTGAATCTTTTTTGAATCACAACTCTGAAAAAGTACTAATAGTTAGAAAAATCATGTAAATATTTATTTGTTTTTATGGTTTGCGAAAATAAACTGTAGCGAGCTAAAGTGGTCAAAGGTCAAACCTGAATCTAATTGATACTCGCGAAACTAAATATTTCAAGTTATAGAACTATGACATATATGACACATTACTGCTTTTAATTGATTATGCGTTATATAAATATTTGGCTTAAAAGACTAGAAACCTAGGACTGAATTAGCAAGAAAAAGTCAAACAAATCAATATCAACAGATTCAGAAGAAAGCGCCCGCTTCACTGTGAACACATATATACCATTACTAAAGTCCAAAGAGTAAACTAATATTAGCTGAGAATCAGATTATTATTGGTCTTTATGAAATACATACACACTGTTCATATTCTTAGAATGTTATAAATAAATAACTTAGTTATCAGTGAAAATGGCTGGTCATATGCATATGCCTAGATTTAAAGAGAAAATCATAATAGTATTTTCCCTCTTACTATTTTTTGTATGTGTATCATACTTATATTTGAGTTATTTACAAAACAGTTATTACATTAATTCGAACGGTGAACGCTGTGTTTCTGAACTGACATCTCTAAAATATCAATTAAACGGTAAATATCCATTTCATGACATTAGGTTTAACAAATTTTTTATTCCAGTTAAATTGTAACACTTTGATTGATACAACTCAAAAGGTTAGCACATTGGTTTGTTTGATAGCGCTTAGTTATTGTTATCAACATTAAATACAAGTAAATCATGTGTACTGTATGATTGAGGAAAAATGTTTTGAACAAATCAAAGTTAAACCAGCATATGTTTGCCATTTTAAAACCTACTTGGACATGTATTTTTTTCACAATTTTCTTATTGAAACATCTTTAAATTCTAAGGCTTTTTTCAATAGCTACAAACCACTGAAACCATCTCAGATGTTGTAGAGATTAGTATCCTCAGAGATGTGACATTAATTTGATTTTTTGAAGTAAATTTAATAAATTTTATGCCTGGTATACACATGAAAAGTGTAATAAAAAAATATACAATATAATATCAAGTATAATTGTTTTAAAAGTGGTGCAATGCTTTACTTACTCAGACAGGAATTGGATACACACATTTTTTTTTTGTTAACACATTCTATGCCGAGAGAAAAAACGCAGTTTCCTGTCCGGGCTGTGTCGATCAGTGATGGTTGACATATAGACTTTCAGTTCAAGCCACATCGGTCAGTGATGACCGCATTTTAAAAGGGTTTTCGTTTCGTTCTTACAGGCCATTGGGCAGTCCTGTCAAACTAAATCTCATATTAATTGACCCGCGTGGCCCTCTAGATTTTCCATGTCAAGTTGGCTTTTGAAAACTTTAAGAACTTAGAAAGAAAAACAACAATTACCATACAAAGAAATTTATTGAAAAAGACAACAAAAAATTCTAATATTAAACTCAATGAAAAGTAAAACTTTCTTTGACATTTTGGTAGATAACAATGATAGCAAATAGCCATATAAAATGTAACAGTAATAAAAAAATCCTATAAAATTATAATATATCACGTTGACTGCCATGTCGGTCACTGGTGCCCTACGCAACGCACTGAAGTAGTTATGTCGATTTCTGTTAGTGAAATAGCTTGTAAATCCTGGATTGGGGCATTAATTTCGGCTTCACTACCCTGTTCATACAGGGGGGAGGGGGTCGAATATTTTCTTCATCATCACTGATATTCAGGTTTAAAGTTTTGTAGAGAAGATCGATTTCTATATTGTCAATTTGTTTTAGGATTTTATCTTGCTTTATCTCAAAATCTTCGAATTCATCCATAGTGATAACAAATACTTTTGAAAACCAATGAATGCACTGCAATAGTAATATATGCTAGCTGTAATAACACAGCACGGCGTCTCAACTCAAGATAAGCACGGCCACTGCAAGCGCAAAAGAACAGGGGGGAGCGCAAAGGGCTACCCGACACCGTGTCCTTGTGATAGGTACATCTTGCTGCCTTTTAGGGATCCTGTGATGGAGCTCGTAAATATCTTCCACTCAAACAAAAACAAGCACAGCTTTGAGATAGAGTTGATAATCTATCAAAATCATATTTGAAATTAGGTTTATTCAGATTTAGATTTATAATTAGAAACTCTCTTTGAGTGTACTTTTTATATCTGGCTGATTGGTGATAGCATTAAATGGATATCTCTTTAAAAGCATTACATAAATGGTTTTGAGTAAATCTAAGGAAGAAAACTAATATATTTTGTTTTATTACAAAACAAGAAAAAAAAATCTATGTTGTACAACATTGGTTCAACCATTTTGTCTGAGTTTTAATTTCATAATGTAGTTCGGTCTAGTTGACTGGCTATGGGTAAATTCAATTACATTTTTTAAAAACAAGGCCTAGTCTAGCACATTATTAGTTACGACATAGCAAGAGCTAGGGGTTGACCACAAAACAGCTTTGACCCATTTTAAAAAGTGTAGGTTGCGTATTCAAATCACGTCAATGTCACCAGTTTGTAACAACGGAGGAAAAATCTTCCACCGAGCAGGTGATATTGCTCAGTAAACCGACGGTCCAAATGTTGTTGTTCCGAACTTGTATATATGCAAGCTTATCTTGAAAATGTAAGTGACATTCAGGCATCTGGCAAATATCTTGTATTGTATGATGACTACCCGCCACAAGTTAATATACTAAAAAGCTTGACATTTGGATGTCTCACTGAAAGAAACTGTGTATACGACTCAATTGTGACTCAGTTTCTATTAGAAATGTTGATCACTGGAGATGAAAAGTGGATTACAAAAAAAAAGAACTATTTCAAGTACCTATACCTCAATTGGATGTAATGTTTCAGATGTCGGATTTCATCTTATGTTTTTTTTTAAATTTATATGATATCAAGAGTATAGATTTTATGAATGTCATTTACATAGAATTTAGGAATAAAATTTAATAAATGTTAAGTACAAAAACCTTTTTTTTCGTTTTTTTCTTAATTTGGTAATTCATTTGGTTGGTTTGGTTAGTTTGGTCATTTAATTTAGTTTCTTTTTTCGACATTTGCTATTTCGAACCAGTGAATTCGAAATTAACAAATTTAATAATATTTCAGACAAACTTTTTTGTTGCTTTCTTAGCCCATGAATGTATAGATACAATATTAAGTGTGCATATGTTAAAACTGCCAGTAGAAGTTATATAAAAAATAGCGAATATCGTATCAAAATCCTTTGTGTGGTTTAAAAGAACATATCACTCACACAGAGACAATAACGGTTTTTTAAACAATTTAAACAGCTCATTATAATGATCTTTCAAATAGAAAGAAAAATAAAATAAGGACATTTTTGTTTTTATAGAAACATTACTACTACTAATACTAACCTTTATTACGTTTTTAAAGTGGTTACAGAATACAAGAATCGTTTGGACAAGCTTCTATCAGAGACGCAAAAGGCCCATGAAATAGAGAAAACAAAGTTTAAGGACATAATGGAAAGCTGCGTTGCGATGAAACAACAGTCTTCTATTTGTCAGGTACTTCTAAATTACATTAATACATATGTATATTCAACGAAGCACTAACTCTCACCGAGTCTCGCCTACCAGTCGGGCCAAACCAAGTTAACCCCTTGAGGCTACTGGTAATTAGGTAGAAAAAAGCTGAATTTATCACTGGATTGAAATCGTGACCCATTGAGAAGTTCCGACGAGAAACTCAGTGGGTTATCTGTGGGTTTCACGTCTCGAATTCTTCGACGAGTTCGACGAGGTTTGCCCATGAAACCTCCCCCTCTCCATCTCCCGACTGAGATAAAGGTCTAATAATAAATTGCATTATGTATTATCTTATATAAGGTACAACGTTCTAACGATCAAGAGAATTTCATAAAAGTAGTGGAGGTCAATTAAAATATACATTATTAAGGGTAACTCAAAAAAGACTTGTCAGATTTTGATGAGATTTAAATGTGACTACATGAGTTGAGCTTCAAATAAATTAATCATCAGTTCATCTGATCAGTTGATCATTCAGGTAAAACATAAAAGAGTGGAATTGATACTTTTTTGAAGTCTGTTTTAAGCAAAATAGAAAACTTAATACATGAATGGAATATAAAACTTAGGGTGTCAGAGATTATGGTCGAATTTCAACTGTTGTGATTTGCTCATAACGTAAACAACAAGTATACTATACCTTGGATACCGAAAAATGTACTACATAATTTGACATTTTTGGTATTATTTTGTAAATTTGATACTCAAAGAAATGGATTAGATTTACAGTTCACTGGTATAGGTGTTTGGGCGTACTGCAATCCCGCACAGATACATAACACGATTTGTTTATTAATTTATTTATTACTAGGGACCCGCCCCTCAATTCACTTCGAGATCAGAAATTTATTATTAACCTTCTTGAATTTTCTTCTATAAAAATCTTCAAGGTAGGTGGCAGCATTCACATTGTAGCGTAAATGGGCTCTGGTAACAACTTAATACCGGGCGATACGTCAGGTCGGTAAAATTCGGTATAAATTTTGCGTTTTTTATTTTATTTATTTATTTTTATACTTATTGTACACAAAAAAGAAAATACAATAAAAACAGATTTAAAAGAATGTCTAAATACTATGTACAAAGGCGAGCTTAACTCATTCATGAGTTTTCTTCCAGCAAACCATTAGCAGAGAGAAATAGGATGTATAAGAGGGGAAAAGTGACAATATAAAAGGTATTAAAGCATGACTGTTAAACTAAGGTTAAAAAAAAAACAAAAATACACAACCATTATGACACACATATTTATAATTTATAAATAATTTTATAAATTATAAATTATTTCTTAATTATAAATTTATAAATAATTTTATTTAGAAGACCGGAGAAATATGTTTCAAAATTTGATGGCGTGGTTTTATAAATAACTAGTCAAACCCGGCCTGTTTGTTGATCGATCGTTGATTTGAATTTAATCCGATCGTTACAAAACTTCACAGAATTAACGGCTTGCCCAATCTGTAGATTTCCCGAGAAGTTTATCGAAATCGGTCCAGTTGTTCCGGTGTCAATACAAACCATGCATACATACACACATCGACTTTTATATGTAATGGTGGATTAACGTACCCTTCCAAAAAATAACATTTGATATTATGCACAATTTCTTGTTGTATTGCAAATTTATTAACACTTTTTCACAATTTTAGGAACACGACTAAATAATTACGTTTTCTATTTCAGAATCAGTTTGAAGATCTGCAGGCGGAATGTAAAAGAGTGAAACAAAATTACGATCTTGTTTCGAGGGAACTCCAGAAACTGAAGACTGTAAGATAGATTTAATCTTCGAATTTGAATTCGACAATATCATTGGTTTTCCAAAGACGTAATTTTGCCAAAAACACATTAAAAGTATAAGTAGGTATAATAGCAAATATGTCACTTTAAAGTTTTTTGTAGAAGCAACTTCTTGTAGGTACCTTAAAAACATTATTAAGTATAACATGTATAAATAATGTTTAAATTAAGTTTTTATTGTTGAGAATGAGATGTGACATTATTATTTGTATTTATTAATTTAGGATGGGCTTACCCTCCTACTTTTGTTAATGTCTCGACTCAAGCTTTAACTCATTTTAATTTATTTCGTTAATACCTAATATTTTTTCTGATGCTTCTGTTTAGTATTTTTATGATATTAGCATATTAAGAAAAAACTTAGAAAAAGTGATTTAAACGTGCTATTCAGATGCTTAATAATTTTGCTAACAAAACATTGCATAGTTGAACAATTGACCACCATAAAAGAATTTTCAACTTCGAAAACAGAACAAAATACTTTGGCTAATGGCTATGTTGTTTAATGAAACTAACATTTTTCCTTTACTAAATATGGTCTTTATGAGGTCAATTTCCTTAATGAGTACGTCGCACGTAATAAAAGCGTGAAATTTCATTTGTGTTCATTAGCTGATAGGATAGTACCTTACGTATAGTCTGGCCTTAAGGTGTTAACTATAAACATAAAAATGGGAATGTCGCAATCGTTTGAAATGTATACATTTGCATTATTACTAGTGGTAGTGAAGCACGTTGCTAAGGCCCGACGACGTATATTTCAGTCGTGATAGTTTTTCTTTGAAAGATAAGAAACCTTGTATACTAATTGATTCGAGAATTTTCTATCTCGAAGTGGGCAACCACATCCAGGTAAATATATCAGGAAAGGGTGACTTCAAAGACGACAGAAAAAAGGCTTTTAGTACATGATAATTAATGTCAATCTTTTTCTTAAATATCAAATGGTTTCCATGATTTGAACATTCCAAAATTAATATTTTATATGTTCTATTTGGTACTAATGTATAATACGTATATTGGAGATTTTAGGACTAGGTTGTTTTGAAAATGACAAAAAAAACGCTTAAACTGCTTAAAGCCATGGTCGCTAAAAGCAGATACGGCCTCATAGTTGTCATTTTGAGTGTAAGGTATTTAATTAATATATTTCCGTTGAATAAATCATTTTCATCTCGAACGTACATTAAGAAGCATCGTTCAGAATAAATAAACAAAAATAATTAGGTATTAGCGGTACAAAAGTGTACTTTTTATACCTGCGGGTAATCGTTTTATTTTTATTCGAATATAACCAATTTTAATTTTAGTTAATTTATTGTTTTTATTTTAGCCAAATTTTATTTATTGATATATTTTAAATCATTACATACTTTTTGATCAATTCTATTTCGTAGTCAATAAATGTATATGCACTAAACATATTCACCAAACATATTCAATGTAATCCTGTATTTAAAAACTATTAGAAATTGTAAAGAATATTTTAGAAGTTTATAATAACTTCATATGTGTATTATGTATTGACTATTTAATGTACAGAAATACCGATTGATTTTGATAAATTACAACGAGGCAATAGCGTTGTTCTAATGCGAACATTACGTAACGCCGATTTTTTTTTATTTACTTTGTACAACATTAAAATGTGTTCCATTCATAGACAATACTTTAAATTAAAATTTTCATATATCGTTTTTTTCAATTTTATGTCAGAACAATTCAGTTAAATTCAGAATAGTTCAGAATAATCCTTGATAATATGTTGATAAATCAGGCAACACTAAAGTACCAATAGCAAAACGATATGCGACCCTCGGGCCGGGCCGGGGGCCGAACCTCCTACGAGGTCCCCGCGCCTAGGGGGCGCGCGGGGTATGTGAGACTCAACGATCTGCAGGTGTTGAGAGCAGATCGCGGGCCCAAGGATTTTAGGGCCCACCCACTAAACGACTCCCCTGCACTCTTACACCCGACGTCCGATCTCCGTCCGGGGTCAGAACCCGTTCAGAGTAGGGGGGTTCCCGCGGTCAACACTACAACCAGACACGCGGCGCCACCCCGAGGACGCCCGACCGACGGGTCGTCGAGGCGATAGTCGACGACCAACGACGTCAGTCTCCGCGGTACGGCGGCCCTCCAGGCCGCCCGGGCGGTGCCGCTGGTGTTCCGGGATACCCCGCTGGGCCAGAACCAGCCTGCCGGGTCGGAACGCGATACACCGCCGACCGGGTTGCTCTTCAACAGTATGTTCGGCGACGACAGCGACGACGAAAATGCGGACCGCATCGCAGTCCGCAGCCGCCGACGCGCCGTCCCGTCCTCCTGGTGCCAGCGCGCTAGAGTGACGGTAGCGTGCGGCGCAGTCTCAGCCCCCTTAGGTCGCCCCGTGACCATCACCGGGAGGAGACTGCCTCCTCATAGGGGCCGGAGCTGGACAAACGCCCTCCTCCGACCCCCGGCTCGACGGCGGCGGCACGGCGCCGAGAGGGAGGAAGAGTTCTCCCTCTCCCGTTCCGCCGCCTCCTTCTGCGAGATGGTGGACTCGCAGAAGTCGAGCATCGCCTGCCAGGACTCATCGCTGCCGAGCATCGCAGCCACGACGGTCGGAAGCGACAAGTCCGGTCCTATTTTTGCAACGAGGACGCGGCGCTGCTCCGCGAAAGCGGGGCAGCACGCGAGCGTGTGCTCCGCCGTGTCCTCGTTGCAGCCACTGCAATGGTGGCACTTCGGCGTCGGCTCCCTCCGGGCGACGAGGTGCAGGTAGCGACCGAAACAGCCGTGTCCCGTGAGCACCTGCGTCGCTCGGAAGGTGAGACGTCCTCGGTCGCGATTCACCCAGTCCGAGAGGACCGGGCGGATCGCCTAACGATATGCGACCCTAACCCAACATGAAAGTTGCATTTGTTTAATTAAAATATCAGATTGGTACAAAACGCATCATTAAAGGATGACATAATAATGAATTATTTAATTTATTTCTCAAAAGAAAATATACAGAAATAGAACATGATGCTGAATATCAAAACTTAAAAATCGAACACTTTGGAATTATGTAAAAACTGATATTTAATCTAAACGCCAACAGATTAATTAGTCTGGAAACTTTCATACGGTATTTCTTAGATTCTATAGTTATTAGTGATTGTTAAGTGATAATTACTGTTTATATATTTTTTTATTTGAAAGTTCTTATACTTAACACGTTACCGTCACAGTAGTTTATAAATATAATATCATGCTGACGCTAAACAAGGGTGTATTAGAGCCTAAACAGTAAACTAGTAAACAGAAAATATAATTAATTTACGAAACCACGAGAAATGGTTGTCATTTTATTTAGTAAGGTCACGTTTCGTCAGCGGGATCGTTTAAAATACACTCTTTGTATTACTGCAAATAGTATTGTCTTGTCTTGAAAGTCCCTGCGCTCTCTTTGTATAGCGCCTTCGATCACACCCGTTACAGTACAGATTACAGAAAATGAAGTGCCGGATCTCCCATTTATTTTGGCGTGTGCATTACATGCTCTGTGGATAGATAAGTTCCTAATGTTTTATAAGCGTTGAAAAAGAAGGTGTCGCTCTGATATTGATATAGTCAGAGAATAAATGCCATTTGAATATTGGAAAAAAAAATCGCTATGTTGGTTTTGATGCAAAACGGGAAAGTGATACTTTTCTCTAATTCAAGAGACAGATTGGGGATCGATATAAAATTTAAAAAAAACAATTATTCCTTGATTTCGTAGTATAACGAATTGAATAAAATAAAAAATCGTTATCCTGCAAAGCAACGCGTTCTTTTATCAATAATCAACATCAATGGCGGCAAACTTGAAAACTATTAGTAATGTTGCACACAACGTGGGTGATGTAAACGAGCTTAAATATCTTGATATTAACGAAGTTTTGATACAGTTTGTAAATTTATTTAATTAACTTCTTATTTTAAATATTTATTATTGATTGAATCGAATTATTTTGAATATGTAAACTAGATTAATACTATTATTATTCTGCTAAGTGTCGTATATTAAAATCACAATAAAAATAACTACTTGAATATATCCTTTGTTTAATTATTTCAAATACAGAGCAAGCTCTAAGCCCTGTGTTGTGGATTTTAAAATAAACGATAATTAAAGTAAAATAATGGACATTTTAATTTTAAAATCCACAAGAATTGGTAGCAGAGCGTGGTTAAAGTGATATGTAAGTAAATAATGTAATTATTATGGCAAGTTCCGCATACCGTATAGAAAGTCTGACGAAAAACAACTAAGGCACATGGTGCTTACAAGCGCAAGCCGTCCTCGTGAAAAATGAATTATGGGACTACGTATCCGACAAAAAATGCTTGACAACGACATCGACGGCAGAAGAGACCGAAAAGCTCAAAAAGAACGATCTCTTGGCGCGGGCGGAACTACTGCTTCTCATTTCACCATCAGAGCTGAAACAGATCAAAGGACGCACGTCGTCGAAAGAGCTTGGGAATCAATTAAAAAGTATTTACCGAAGTCAAGGGCCCGCTCGCAAAGCGGCTGACACTGTTGAAGCAGCTTGTGTTAAAGAAACACATGGTCAGCGAAGACGACCGCGACCACCTGAACAATTTTATGGACATAGTGGATAAGTTAACGGACATGGATGTAAAGATTCATCCAGATTTGTTGAGCATAATGATGTTGTACAGTTTACCTGCGTGTTACGAAAATTTTAGCATAGCCATCGAGTCACGTGATACTTTACCGCTTCCCGAGGAACTACAGATAAAAATCCTTGAGGAAAGTGAAGCTCAAAAGAATGTTAACAATGACAATGTTAAGAACGGCGGAGGAGCTTTCTACACCAAGAAAAAGGTAAAGAAATATTGTCAAAAGTATAAAAAGAAGGGTCATACAACGAAAACGTAGTGGAGCGAAAAGAAAGATAAAGTAAAAAAATCTAATAAAGTAGAAAAGAATTACAGCATAACGCCCATATATAAGTCCATGTCCATAACTTCGGCGAACATATGGTGTTTGGACAGTGGCTGCACATCGCAAAAAGACACTTTGAAGAGATACAGCCAGAGTCAGGTACACTCAAACTATCATCTGAATCACAACCAAAATCGAAGGCAAAGGCAAAGTATGTTTCGAACTACACGACTATATAATTAATTTACATGACACACTATACGTGCCAAAGCTATCGACGAATCTCCTATCAGTAGGAAAACTTACACAAAATGGCTGCACTGTCAGTTTTGTTTACAATATGGCCTATATTAAAAATAAAAAGAATGAAACAACTTTGACTGCAAAAAAAGAAAATGGCTTAAATTATGTACATTTAAAAAATTCAAGTATTGCAAGCGCTGTGTCTGATAACAATATGATGTTATGACACCAAAAACTTGGCCACTTAAATGAAAAAGATATGAAACTAATTGATAAAAATGAACTGATCAGAGGCGTTAACCTGGGAAAATTCGGAAAAATGCCCACTTGCGCAACCTGTATAGAAGGTAAGAAAACTCAGTTGCCATACACATCCACAGAAGGACCACAATCGAGTGAACGACTGGAAATAATGCATATTGATGTGTGCGGACCAATGAGGACGGAAACTATTGCAGGATCCAAATATTTCGTGACTTCTGTCGATGATTTGTCAAAATATTGGTGCGTGTACTTCCTTAGACACAAAGATGAAGTTTTAGAAAAATTCAAAGAATTCAAAAATAGGGTAGAAAATTCTTTCAATAAAAAAGTTCGAGTACTCCAATCAGACAATGGCAGAGAATACGGCAACAAAGAATTTGACCGTTACCTAAAAGAAAGCGGCATACACCTAAGATTATCTGCTCCCTACACGCAACATGGCCAGAGCGAGAGAAATAATCG